GCATTGGGTTAGGGACATTAAGGACAGGTGGCAAGAGGAAGAAGATGAAGGATGGAGCTTAACACCCCAGGACTTCAGGTGTAGTTGCCTGGTCACTCTCAGGTGGAAAGCGTCTAGGTCAACTCTAAACATAGTGTGCTCACCTTTAGCCAAAGTGCTGAGTGTTTTTAGTCCCTGAGGCTTAGTGACCAGCGCAAGCTTAAGTGCAGCTGGCTGTGTGAGTCACACACCACGCGTGCACACACACACTTCTTTCATCCTATCATAGTCATCTTTGCCATCATTCTGCTCCTTGCTTGTTGAATTCTCAGTATGGCTGAGTTCTGAGGCTGGTGTGTACCAGAGCCACAGCCAGAGTGAAGGAGATCAGGGCACCTGCTAATCTCATTAGGAGATTGTCTTGGTGTCCTAAGGACAGGTGCCCCCAGGAGGGGCTAGCATGGGCTGTGCTAGGCCCCAGGTGGATGACGCCTCTCCTTGCAACTTCAGGATAGTGGTGATGCCCATTGCCCGAGAGTTCGCTCCAGACCTGGTCCTGGTGTCTGCTGGTTTTGATGCTGCCGAGGGTCACCCAGCACCACTGGGTGGCTACCATGTTTCTGCCAAATGTAAGGGGGCCCCAGCTGTGGGGGAGATGTGGGAAATAAGAGCCAGGCTGTGTGGGGACAGGAATGTATTGCCAAAATGAAAGGGACAAGAAGCAGCGGCCACAGTCCAGGGCCACATGTAAGGTCTGGAGTAGGGCTGCAGGCCCTGGAATTCCCTGGGTTCTCCCAGCCTAGCACAGCACAAGCTACTTCTCAGGACCAGGCCTCTGAAGACTTAGGTCTGCCAGATGGAAGCCCAGTTGGAGAAGCCAGGCTTCCAGGTTGGGCCATCAGCTGAAGTTAGAAGAGCTGCAGTCTCAGAACACAATGTTGGTGCTATCCACAATGCCACAGGGCTTGGTGGTGGTGGCCCAGTGAGACTTGGGCTGGAGGTGATACTGGGGTTCAAGCCTCAGCCCTGCCACCTACTAGCTATGGGACCTTGTAGAGAACTTCTCAGAGCTTTGGATGAAGCATATGAATGAATTTTGCATGGGGTTCTCATCTTTAAGACATTGTCTACAAAGGAGGAAGCAAGCAGGGAAACTATGGGTAGGGAATGGGTCCTGCCGCTCCTCCAGCCTGCTACTCTTGCTCTCATCTCAACCATCTAGGTTTTGGGTATATGACACAGCAACTGATGACCTTGGCAGGAGGTGCAGTGGTATTGGCCTTAGAGGGTGGCCATGACCTCACAGCCATCTGCGATGCCTCTGAGGCCTGTGTGGCTGCTCTTCTGGGCAACAAGGTAAGCTCCCCAGACCATCTATACTTCAATGAGGCAGATGAGCCTGGCTTTCACAGTTCCCAGACAAAGAGCAGGTAGATAAGAGGGGAAGGGGTGGTGTGGAGCAAGATGGTATAGTGGAAACCTTCTCAGGTCAGGTCTAGGGCCAGTATCTTCTGATCTCAGAGAGCCAGCAGCTTATGTCTGTCTGTGCAGGCTGAGCCTCGGGTCCCTGATAGAATGTTTTTGTAGGTGGATCTCCTTTCAGAAGAAGGCTGGAAACAGAAACCCAACCCCAATGCCATCCGCTCTCTGGAAGCTGTGATCAGGGTGCACAGTGAGTTTTGACCTTGGATACTTGCTGGGTCCTAACTTGGGAAAGCCTTCAGAGTCCACCAGCCCACTGGCAAAGGTCTCAGAGATCTAGTGTCAGCCAGGCCAGAAGCACACTGACAGTACCAAATAGGATTCCAGGAATAATGGTGGGCATATCCCCATGAGTGGGTAACCTCTTAGCCCTCCAGTTGGACCTAGCACGGACACAACAGTGGCTTCCTTATGACTGGGACTGGCCTCCCATCTCTGGCTATAGTCTTGGGCCAGGAGCCAGGCTGACAGCAACACTCAGGCCTTGGTTGCTAAAAAAAGGCTTGGTTTAAAGCTGAGTGGTGGTGGCGTATGCCTGAAATCCCAGCACTCAGGAGGCAGAGGCAGGTGGATCTCTGTGAGTTGGAGGCCATTCTGGTCTACAGAGCAAGTTCCAAGACAGGCTGCAAAGCTACAGAGAAACCCTGTCTCGAAAAACAAAACAGAAGGCTTGGTTTTACCTCCTCAGTGACTGGAGAGGCTGTGGGGAAGGTCTACTTGGGTCTCAGAAGAGCCCACATTTGGAAAACATGCTAAAGATTCCACTTCAACTAGGTATCTATCTGTTGAGCACTTTCTGTGAAGGCCCCGAATCTCTACTGGAATACGAAGATGAATAAGGCAGATTCCCCATATCCGGGCTTGGTTGGAGAAACAGACACATAACCACAGATACAGCTTCCTATGGTACCTCCCATGGCTCAGGTTCTGCTCTGAGCTGGTCTGTGTCCATCACCGTCTCAGACCAGCAGGATGATGAGTGTTCCATGGACCAGAGGTGGCTGTGCAGAGCAGCTGTGGGGATGCTTGCCCCTGCTCTGCACCATGACTGTCTTACCTCCCCCCCCTTTCAGTACCAGTGATTGAACCAGGGGTCTTGCGCATGCTAGGCTTTCACTCTATTGCTGAGCTATAGCCTAGCTCTTGGGTTGTTTAGTTTTGATACAGGGTCTCACTATGTTTCCCAGGCTACCTTCCAGCGTGTGATCCTCCTACCTCAGACAGGAATTTATTACTGTGCCTGGCCTCCTAGGGGTAGGCTGAGCACTATGGAGGCCACATGAGGGGGACCCTGTGCTCTAGGAAACCAAGGCACAGGGGCAGGGCATGTGAGTGAATCTTGACATAAACATGATGTAGGGACAAGTGGATCCACCTGGTGCTCTTAGAATCCACACACCTATGGAGTGGTCTTTCATTGTTTATTTATTTATTCATTCATTTATTATTATTATTATTATTATTATTTTTTTTTTATTTTGAGACAGGGTCTATGTAGCCCTGGCTGTCCTGGAACTCATTATGTAGACCAGGCTGCCCTTGAACTCAGTGATCCAACTTCCTTAGCCTTCTGAGTGCTAAGATTAAAAGGTGTGTGTCTGGTTAATTTTTTATGTGTATGGGTATTTTGTCGGCATGTACTGCTATGCACCATGTGTGTGCATGCAATGCTCTTACAGGCAAGAAGAGGGCACCAGAACCTCTGGAACCCAAGTTTCAGATTGTTGTGAGCTACCACATGGATGCTGAGAATCAAACCTAGGTCCTCTGGAAGAGTAATCAGTGTTTTCAACTGCTGATCTACCTTGCCAGCCCTCTAGAGTGGAATTTTAGCCAAGGAAGATGGGAAAGGGGCTTGATAATCTGTGAAGATGTCCTCATAGCCATGTTGAATCTGCTCTGTTACCCAGGGCTGTAGGGAAGGGGTAAGCTGTGAGGTGTTTTGCTGAGAGGTGAGGGCAGGAAGGGGCGCTGATGATGTGTCCACTATTCTTTGTTATCAGTCTAGGATACAGCTCAAACAGCTTGTGTTTTCCCAACTGACCCAGCTTCTTGTCCTAGGGAAATACTGGGGCTGCATGCAGCGCTTGGCTTCCTGTCCAGACTCCTGGCTGCCCAGAGTGCCAGGGGCTGACGCAGAAGTAGAAGCTGTGACTGCACTGGCATCACTCTCCGTGGGCATCCTGGCTGAAGACAGGTAACACAAGACCCTCAGCCTGAGGCCCATGGCCTTCTAATCCCTTTAGATCATCCCAGCTTGAAGACCCCAGACTCTCATACAATTAATAGTGTCAGGCCTTTGAAGTAGGACTGTGAGGGTAATGCCACTAAGGCCCTGACCACAGCCATCTGGCTTTCCAACATCCTGCCCTTGTCCCACTCCAGGCCCTCAGAGCAGCTGGTAGAAGAGGAAGAACCTATGAATCTCTAGGGCTTCAGAACAGATCACCTGCTCTCCAGACGTGGCTCTCTTCACCTGTGGTCAGCCCTGTTCCTGTGTCTGCAGAGATCCTTTGGGCAGGCAGTCAGGTCCAGAGCACAACCTACCCTGACAGCTACCCCAGGGAACTTGACAAGGCCACTGGGTCTGGGATGGGGACCAGGAAGGCTCCTGGGAGGAGGCAGGCTGGGCACTAAGGCCCAGCTAGGCTCTTTCAGAATGGATCCAGCTCTCTGGTGTCCAGGCCCCTAGCCTGTGGCCTCCATCCCTCAGGACTGCACAGCGGAGGACTGGTTCAGGTGGGCCCACCACTACCACTATTCTTTACTCAGAAGACCCCAGATTTTGCACACCGCCCCAGGCTCCATACAGAAATGTGAACTTGGCCTCAGCCAGGGTGGCCCTTCCAAGGTTCTGAAGGGCTAGGGGAGTAGAAGGAGCCAAGGGGTCCCCTATTCCTGAGGACAGGAGAGTTCCTCTCACCTGCTTCCTCAGTTGTCTTCTGGTAGCACTGGGCTCTGAGAGCCATTCTGAGCTGCTCTCTCCCTGTGACTTGTCACCAGCAAGCCTCCCATCTGGTCACTGTCCTGCCAGAGGCCACCCTATGTGGACCATCTCAGTGCCCTGGTGCAGCAGACAGGTTCTCTATGAGTCCTGTGCTTCCTGACCCAATGGTGCCAAACCTTCATCTCCCCTTAAAAGCACAACACAATCCCAGGGATGCCTGGTCACTGCTCCCAGTATGAGCCTGTCTTCTGTTTCTGGGGTTCCCCCCACCTCAGTTCTGACTGCTGCCCCACATAGGACTAGCTTGACTGAGGGGGGATAGGAGGGGAGAGTAGACAGATATGGGGGAGGGGAGGCCATCCCAGAAGTCTTCAAGGCTTTTGAGGTCTAGGCCTGGGGCCAAGAAAGAGTATTTGTGTGTATGTGTGTGTGTGTGTGTGTGTGTGTGTGTGTGTGGGTGTGTGGATGTGTGCGGTGGGTGTGCGCATGTGCGCGTGCAAGAGTGTGTGTGTGCATGTCTTCCCCGAGACCTGCCATACCTTGTGTATGTATGCATGTTTTTGTAAAAAAGGAAAAAAAAGGAAAAAAAAAACCCTGAACAATAAATGTTTTATTTGCTTTAAAGTCCTTGTGAGTACACATCCTGGATGTTAGATGTCATCAGTGGGGTGGGTGTGCACCTGAGATGGGCTAAGAAAGGGGGCAAGTTTGGGCCAAACTCAGACCCTCTAGTCCCTTGCCCTTCCATGGCTACTGCATGCAGGGAGAACCCACCCCAAATACATGCTTACCAACCCAGGCGAAAAAGGAGATGCTCCAGGGCTGAGCCCTACAGGCTGGGCCCTGTGGGATACGGGGACCAGTTCTCAGACTCAGTTTGTCAAGACACCCCCAAAAAGGTCATGAAGCAGACACACCTGGGCTTAGGTCCTAGCTGGGAGTCAGTAGAGTCGCTGCCTTGTGTATCTTTTGGTAAAAGGCTCTAGACGTGGACGTGGTTTCTGCTTCCTACCTGCTCTAAAGCACCATGGTGTTTGAAGCATATACCATAAAGTAAAAGGGTGGACAAGGCAAGAGGCCTGAAAAAAGTATCCAGCATAAGCAAAGGGGGTGTCAGCTTTTGTCTTTCTGGTTCTAAATCTACCCAGCCTGGTCACCATATACCTTGGAGCCCCAAGCAGTCTGTTTGGGGTAGGAGAAAAAAAAAAATCCCTTCCCTAGCCTAGGAGGTGGGTATGGAATCTGCAGGGGATGCTGGGACTGTGGAGATTTTAGCCTCATAGGGCAGGGCTGGGAGAGCAAAGGTCTGAGTTAGTGGTCTCCTCAGGCCAAGAGGGGGCAGGCTGCCCGCTAGCCCAGAGCTAACCTTAGAGAAATATTCAGATAGGTAGAGCCCCCCTCCTTGTCCACTCTTATAGTCCCCTCTCAAGTCCCCTCCCTCGCCAAGAAACACCCTGAGGCTGATAAAAATGGCCGCTGTATTTCTGCTAAAGTGACAGTGACACAGGTAAGGCAGAGAGCGAGGGGCAGGACCTGGGTGGAAAAGTAGATGTGCAAAACGGCAACCTAACATAAAAGGATGTATATAGCAGCCCCTGCCCTCCCTCTCTACTTAGGTAAGGCCTTGGGCCCATGTCCATCCAGGAGATAAAGATGAACGTCAATGTTGGGGTCTGGTGCAGGGAGAAGGTCCTCATGGCTGGGGTGTGGTCTTGTGCAGTGAGGGACAGGTGAAGTGAAAGGCTGGAGACTCAAGACTACAGCTGTAGAGCTCTCTAGCCCCCACCAGCTTGCCCCCTATCCCAAAACCCTTGTAGGTGCAGGGGTATGTTTCCAGTGGTCCTCAGGTCTAGCCTCATCCAAGGAGTCCAGCTCTGGTAATATGTGGTCATGTGAGCATATGTGACACAGGAATGGTTGGCTGGCTCTAGCACCCTCATGGGAAACAAACTCTGGATGGGAAGACAGGAGGAGAGACACTGGATTCTGTTCAGTTTTGCAGCTTGAGGAAAGAGCCAATTGTCACTTCCCTAGGAACTGATGAAGTCAACTACCTGACCCTTGAGGACAACAGAGCAGAGGTGCTGGGGTGGGATTTGGAGATCTCTGAGTGGAGATTCCTTACTTGATGAAACTTTCCAGATGCCTCCCACACACATGCTTCAATGAAGTCTGGGGCAGCAAGGAAGCCTGTCCCCCACCCTGCCATTACGTTCAGACCTCACAATCCTAACCCTTGACACCTTGAGTTCATTATCGTGGTCCTACTTACAAGGTTCCTCAGAGTGCTAAGAAAATAGATCCATTTGGAAAGAGCTAAGCTGCCCTCTAGCCAGGCTAATGGGCAGGCTGGCAGTGCCCCTTCAACAGTTCTGTCTTCCCCCAGAAAGGGGACCAGATGGCTTTCTGGGGTACTAAACTGACCCGGCTGCCTATGCTCTGCCACGGTTCTGGAGTCCCCAGGGTTTGGGGCAGGCTCACTTGCTGACTCAGAAGCTGAGTACAGGTCCTGAGGGACCCCCAGGCTGGAGTGATCTCATTCCCTGGGTCAGAAATCACTGAGGATGCTGATGTCAGCAAAGTCAGCCCGGTAGCGGTGGGCGTAGAGGCTGAGTAGGAAGGCCCACTTGAGAGAGATGAAGCTCCAGACGCAGGAGAGGTAGTAGCTGGTCGGGTCTTTGAGACCTGCAGGGAAGAGACACCAGATGACAACTTTAGAGATGACCCATAGCACCACAGCCAGCCACAAGGCCAGGTCCCCCTTTCTGCCCACTCTACAGCCTGCGGGCCTCTGAACTAATGCTCCCGAAAGACTGGTGTGTGTAGTGCAGGTTTAGAGCACCCCTGCATGTTAGTCATAAAGCTGGGGTGTGAGAGGAGGTCACAGTTGGCCATCAGGTCATCCTTTTGTGGCACACACAGGCCGCTTCCAACCTGCATCAGATAGGGAAGGGCCTCTGGCTACTTCTTACTAGAGCCACCAGGGGGTGCTGCCTTCCTGGAGCTAGGCAGAGAATAAAGGACTCCAGCAACTCTGGGGTGGGAGTCAAACTTGTCCCTGGTACTTCACACCAGTCTGGAGTCCTCCTGCCCTGAGGAGGTGGGGTCTTTCATCCTCCCCACTTTAACAGTAAGGAACCCCAGCAGGGGAAGTCAAGTGGTCCATTCAGTCCCTAGAATAACACTTCTAGAACCTGGACAACAGTCCCAGGGCATATTCCCAGGTTCCTCCCTACCCTCAAGCCCTCTCCCTGCCTCCTTTCCCTGAATGGTCCTCACTCTGGTGCTGGGTGATGGCCAATGCCAGGAAGGTGCAGAAGGCAGAGATGGAGACGGCTGAGAAGAGAACACCCACGAAGAAGAAGCCTCGCAGCCCTTTGAGCCAGGTCCTCCAGTAATCCTGCATGTACATCACATGAGTCACCAAGACCCACAATGCCAGGACACCTGCAGGGACAGACTCAGTCAGCAGGACCCAGACAATTGCCTGTCATGTTGCAGCCCCCTCCTGCTTGGCCTCTAGACCAGTGGCCCTGATACTAGGGCCCTTAAGTCCACTAGGTCATATCTACTCACACAGTGGCACTGAGAAGACTGGCCCTTATGATATGATGTGACATCAATGGGATGTGATGTTACCACTTGAATATGGAAGCATGGGACTTTAGCTGCCTTCCAGAAAGCCAAGTGTGGTAGAATATTATTTTAAGGTGTGTGACTTTTGTTTATGCTGCGCTTGTTTAACTCTGTAAAGTTGTGTTACTGTGCCTGTTTTAAAACACCTGATCTACTAAAGAGCTGAACAGCCAATAGCAAGGCAGGAGAAAGGATGGATGGGGCTGGCAGGCAGAGATAAATAAAAGGAGAATTGAGGAGGGGGGGGTACAAGAGAACAAGGGGAGGAGGACTTCAAGGGCCAGCTACCCAGCCACCCACAAAGTAAGAAGGAAGGTAAGATATGCAGAAGTAAGAAAGATAAAAGCCCAGAGGGAAAAGGTAGAAGAGTTAATTAAAGATAAGAAAAGCTGGCTAGAAACAAGTCAAGCTAAGGCACTCATAAGTAATAATAAGACTGTGTGTGTGATTAACTTGGCAGCTGCGTGGTGGGCCCCCCAAAGACCCTCAAAAAGACAACAAACTAAAAAGCATTTAAAAATTTCAAAGAATAGCCAGACATTAAAGAGATTTGTGGAAAACAAAACCATGACATTCTTTGTAGTTTTTACTTTCACCAACTTTTTCTTTATTTTCTCCTCTTCTACTTTTGAGAGAGAAAAGGTCTTCTTCTTCTTCTTCTTCTTCTTCTTCTTCTTCTTCTTCTTCTTCTTCTTCTTCTTCTTCTTGTCTTTTCTTTGTTTTTGTTTTTGTTTTTTTTTTGAGATAGGTTTTTTTTTTGGATAGCCTTGGATGTCCTGGAACTTGCTCTGCAGACTAGGCTGGCCTCAAACTCTGAGATCCACCTGCCTCTGTCTCCTGAGTGCTGGTATTAAAGGCATAAGCCACCAAAAGGCTAAGACAAAGTTCTACATAACCCAAGCTAGCATTGAATTTGTGATCCTTCTGCCTTAACCTCCCAAATGCTGGGATTACTGACATGTACCACTACAGCCAGCTTGAAGACACTGTTAGCTGGGCAGTAGTAGTGCATATCCCCCCAGCACTTGGGAGGCAGAGGCAGGCAGATCTGAGTTTGAGGCCAGTCTTATCTACAGAATCAGTTTCAGGACAGCCAGGGCTACAAAGAGAAACTAGGGCTACACAGGGGGTCTCTAAAAACCTAAATAAAGGAGTATATAGAAGGTTAGATGTATATAAATAAAATCTTAAAAGTTTCTCAGTTTTAGTTTCTAATATGGCACGTGTCCATAGATAGAATCTACCTAAACAGAATTTATTTGGTATTTCACTCTGAATGAGACTTCCTGATGCCTATCCAAAGCCACAGACGTAGAGGAGCATGCCCCCTCCAACACTCTCCTCTGCCTGTTGCTCTGGATCCCGGAGCCTGCAGCTGAATTCTTGGGCAGCAGGGCTCTTCTCAACTCTACACTGGTCTTGCATAAAAAGGAAGCTTTGTCATGAGGCCCCCAAGGCAGGCCACCCAGCACCCACGTGGCTACTTGCTTTGGGCTAGGCCTCGTGCCATCCCTCCAGTGTAAGGCAAAGGGCAGGCTACCATCCCAGGCCCTTCTGGGTCTGCCCTCTGGACCTGGTGGACACTTCTCCTGGGATGCTCTCAGTCAGTACAATAGAACACAATTCAACCCCCAGTGCCAGGCAGTGCCTGCTGGTACGGATTAAAGAATGAGACAAATACCAATTCCGTTGGCTAGGACCTAGATCAGGGCTGTGAAGCCAGGCAAGGGAAGAATGAGAGAAGAGAGCTGGCCAGCTGTAAACTCTCAGGACAGCCATGGGTCGCAGGCAGGCTGCTCAGGCTGCCAGCATCCAGGAGGTGGGAGTCCCTTCAAATCATCAGCTGCATATAGTGCAAGTCTGGGACCTCTCGGAGGGACAGACATCTGGCTGGGAAGGAGGTCGCAGGGACAGAGGGAAGCAAAGGGACCCTTTGACAACCATTAAACATTTTTTTGTTTGTTTGTTTGTTTTGAGACAAGGTTTCTCTGCAGCTTTAGAGCCTGTCCTAGAACTTGCTCTATAGAACAGGCTGGCATCGAACTCACAGAGATCCACCAGCCTCTGCCTCCCAAGTGCTGGAGTTAAAGGTGTGCACTACCACCACCACCACCCAGAGCATTTTATTTCTTAGGCTGGGTAATTTCTTAGCACAAGTATCTGTTAACTTGCTTCTCCTCTTGACATGCCTAAAGTGTTTTATACTTTTTAAGTTATGAGACATTGGGTGGGGGTAGCAAGCATAGGACTCTAGTTATCATGGGGCTATGGTGACCAGCTTAATTGTCACAATCAGGGCAAAACCAAAACAGGAATAATGCAAACCAGGAAACTTAGGGCCAGGCACTGTTGTGCTGCCAAACATAAAAATGGGTGAGCCCTGAGGTCCTGCCAATCTGGATAATCAGGGTATCCTGGGCTCCTCCCTGTGTGGGCATGAGCCCACCAACCCACCTACCTACCTGCCTACCTCACTCTGCTTTCCCCACCTGCCAGTCTGACACCCACCCACCCCCACCCCCATTCTTCCAGTTCAGCCCTAGCCGGCCTTTCAATCTTCCTTCTTGGAATGGGTTCCCATTACCCCTGGGCTCTGGGTAGATGGAAACAAACATGCTCCCATCTTTGTCTTGGCAGGAAGCTGCAGCCGGCCAGAGGTAGCCAGAATACTAATCTCTGCTCTACCCTCTGTGGTCCGGATTTTATCCCAGCAACCTCCACGAGTGTCTCCCCGTTCCTCCTGAAGTTCTCCTCACCTTGGCTTCTCTAGTGAGAGGCACTGAGGATTAAACCCAGGGCCCTGTGCACAGTGTTCAATTTATCACAGTGAGCTCCACCCTTAAGACTTGCTTTCGGTTTTTTAAATGGCCCCAAGAGATGAAGCCTTTGTCACCAAACATTTTGGGGACAGACCAGGCTCTCCCAGTGACTTGTCCTCCCTCCTTTTCTCACGAAACGGGGTACAATAACTGAGCTCTGAGATCTTTTCCCACTTGAAGATCTGGAAGCCAGCTTAAAGTGGAAAAAAGAAGGTCTGAGCAAGCAGTTCCTATGACTCAGCAGTGTCTAGGTTAGAAAACGCTGAACTAGGAAGTATCACCTCAGACCACCAGCATGACCCAGGGGTTCCCCCAAACTCTCACTCCCACATATGCCCAGAAATGCTGGGAACAAGAAGGGAAGGCAGAGGGTGGCTTGAGGTACTCCCGGTTGTAGCTAAACACTTCCCTGAACCCAGCACCAGTACTCAGGCTAGCTAGGGAAACACACTCAGGCTGGAGGCCACTTTCCACCCTGGCCTCCTTGGAGAGATGCTCCTTCCACAAGTGGTAATGAAGGAAGCGTCCCTCTCTAGTCCTTTCCTATACTCAGGGGAGCAATTGTACCCTTTCCCAGGATATGCAATGGCTCTGAGACGCCTGGTATATAAAACTTGGGGCAGTATGGACAAGTCCTCAGCCCCACCCAGCTACCGGACCAAGCTAGACCTCATCCTTGATCCACTCTGCCACTTCAAGGCTAGGCCTGACTAGTCTCTAGGTTCATAGGCCTGGTTAGGGAACCCATGTCCAGATGCTAGGCTGGACGAGGGGCTTGGAGGCACCCAAGGGCACCGATGGGGTAAATACAGACACTTGGTATGTGACTCTGAGGACACACACCAGCCCTGTTGCCCAGCTCAGAGGACACAGGAGACTCAGGGTGCCAGAGTTCCTCTCTATCAAAGCTCAGTTGTGAAAAGTATGGAGCTGTTTGGATGTGGGGGCGCAAGTGCTCTACTTTCCATGGTTTTCTAAACACAGAGCAGGCATGTTAGCTAGGATTCCCAGTGCAGAGCCAGAGTGGGGAGTCCAATGAGGCCTCTCTGGTGAACCCATACTTTTTTAGGTCACTGCCTTTTTGCAAAGTCACTTCCTCCCAGATTCCTGCTGGGATAAGAGGGTGTCCACACCCTAAACGTTCATGCATACTCTGTTCCAGAAGCCAGCATCCCCAATAGCCACAATTGACCAACATGTACAAACCCACTGGGATGGACCTCTGTGACTCAGCAATTTCTGGGCAGCAAAATGCCGAGTCAGTAGTGAAGTGCTTACAAGTCAGAAGCCTGCTGACATTTCACCCCCAAAGAGGAAGAAGGGCATCAGGTCATGAACCCCTTGTTGCAACCCATGCCGGGCAGGGAAAGAGTGTGACCTTGGCCTGACAACTCTTCGCTCATCAGTCACTACCACTAAGCAGTTTTGGCTCTTCCATGACCACAGTTGCCAGTGACCAGACTAGCTGGGAGATGAGTCCCTGCTCCAGCTAATTGCTGCCAAGTGCCTGTCTCTCAAGGCAGCTCCACAGCCAGCCTGCCTCAGGCCAAGCAAGGCCGTCAAGGATAGAAAAGGTGGGAGGGAGGCCCTAGTGGCTGCCTGGAGTGGGAGCTGGAACCTTCCCCTGCTCTTTTCTTTTCTTTTTTTCTTTTTTGCATTGGTGTTTTTTGTATGTCTGTATGGTGATATCAGATCTTGTAGTTACAGACAGTTGTTAGCTGCTGTGTGGGTGATGGAAATTGAACTTGGGTCCTCTGGAAGAGCAGTCAGCTCTCTTAACCGCTAAGCCATATCTCCAGTCCCATCCCCTGCTCTTTAATCCACAGCCAGACATAAAGCCTGGATGAGTGAACAGCAGTACACAGTCTTGCAGACCTAGAGAAGTGGGATCTCCTCCTACTCCTTCCAGAAAAGGGAGCTGAAGCCCAGCAGGCATTTCCATGCCTCACACAGCTAAGTAGAGATCACCCCTACTTCCATAGGGCAGACTCT